GTTTCTGTATCAGTTAGTTATTAATATTTTTCCCAGATGATAGCTTTTGAATGAATCTCATATTACTTTAAGTTTGGTTAAGACAATGTATTGACTAACCAAAAAATCTCAAACAGTGCAGCAAACAATTCTAAAATACACATCCTTTGTTAAGAACATATCATTAAATTTGGATATAACATTAACTTCAAATAACACAAAATAAGCGGTATCAGAAATATGACACATACTTTCTCCCATAAGCCATGATAATTTCGTAGGAAAAAATCACAAAAGTTGCAATAACTTTTGAACTGTAATTTTTACGGAAATGGGATCTGTACCATTTCGTTCTGAATTTAAAGGACTATAGCATACGGTACTACATTTTAATAAAAAAAATCAAATTTTTTCGTTATTTTAGGTATGGGTTTTTATGGAAAAATCCCCATTAAAAATAAAAATATGAAAAAAGCCTGGAGATGCCATGAATTAGTACCTACATACCAAATTTCATCAAAGTCAGACTACAGCACTACAGGTGTGGTCTGTAGCTCTGTACACGTCCACACATACATACACATATAGATACACACACACACACACACACACACAGACATCACTTCGAAAACCACTTGTTTGGGTTCAGGGGGGCCCAAAATGGATATATCAACTCAAACTCGAAAATCTTGACAAAAACAAATCTTTCTCCATATACTATGTATCGGGGGAGAAAGTAAAAATAAGGAAGGATTAACATAAAATCACAAAAAAATACAGACCCTAGTTCATTGAATGTTTCTTTTCACTAACCCATTTTGTGTAAGGAATAAGATTTAAAAATAGAATGAAATAGATATACTTTTTGATAGCTACTAGTAACAAAAATTTCATACAGTAAGGAGGAAAAACCAAGAAAGTCTCTTTAAGTCAAAAACTAGTTTGAAACTTGATATGGATCTACCATTTAAAACTACTTGTGAGCAACTTGAGTTGAAAGAGGAGTTTTCTCATATTATTAACTTTGTTATCAACTTGAAATATGTGTTTTATTTTTAGTATTTAGTTGTTGCATTTACATGAATCACAATCCTATTCTAACGTAATTTTTTCAACTTTTTTATAAAGTAGGTCTAAGTTTTTTTGGATAGCATAATTAATTGTAATTAAGGATCATCTACTCAAATAAACATATTTTATAATATACTTTTTACATAAATAAGCGTAACCATTTGATTACTGGCCCTGGGTCTAATGGAAGACGAAAACTATCCAAACATGTGAATTCAAAATACAATCGGCCTCATGAGTGCAGTGGAGTTGATACAGAGTTGTATTGTTCTGGTTATAGGCTCAATTAGGTCGGGGCTCAAATCAGACTTCCTCTTACAACTTGGTGCCAAACACCATCAGTTTGAAGGCTGCCTGGTTGGCTCACCGCCTTAAATCCTCAACACCTAGATATTTACCGTTCTTCCTCTTCTAGTTAGCTTTGTAAATTATCAACTAGCTTCTTGAAATAAAGATTATATCTTGCATAAGCAATACAGTGTGTAAATTAAGTATTGAAACAAATCTGTATTTTTAAAACCGAAATAGATAGAAATATTCTGTTTGTGGCATTGATTCTTAACAAAGGTTCCGCAAATTTTTACACCAAAAAAACTTTTTCACCCCTTTAATAGGGTAGGGGGTAGGGGGTGACTTATTTTTTTCAAATAGCAACCCCTATTGAGTGACGCCTCATTTTAAAGGGTTTGTCAAAAGAAATACAATGACACAAACTCGAGGTAGATATTTCATCCCTAGCCTAAATGGTGGGTATTCCAAAATTTAATTTATGTGAAAAGCACCCATTTTGGAATACCTGCCATTTTGGCTAGATATTCACTTCGGATTTGCGTCATCGTGTTTCTTTTGACAAGCCCTTCAAAATGAGGGGTCACTCAATAGGGGTTGCTATTTGAAAAAAATAAGTCACCCCCTACTTCCTACCCTGTTAAAGGGGTGAAAATTGGTGTTTGGTGTAAAAAATTGCGGAACCTTTGTTAAGAATCAATGCCACAAACAGAATATTTCTATCTGTTTCGGTTTAAAAAATACAGATTTGTTTCAATACTTAATTTACACACTGTATAATCACACCATTTTAGCTGTCGAATTAATTGATTTACATACTCAATCATTGTCTAAAGATCTCCAACCCAAGTGGGCCATTGTCTGCCACCCTCCACTGAAGCGAGTTATACTTAATTTACGAGATTACCTCAATTAACCATAACAAGTATGTCTAATATGATACAATTAATGAAGCTGAAAAACTATTAAGTTAACTAGTTAGTTATTAACTAGAAACCTCGCCCTAGACACATGAAATAGGTTCTTTTTGTAAACTAAAATTGTATACATTTTTATAAAGCACAGTAAATTGAAAATAGATTGCTCTCAAACTTCACAAGTAAGGTTAGTACTATTTTTTAAGATAAACAAATTATTTTTCTAATTAGCCTAATTATGGTGAATCTTCAGCATATAGTGACAGGAAATTATGAAACTATTATTTTTCTATGTGAATACTGAATACATGCACATCCATTTAATTGAAACTGACACTGTCATTAGTAAAAACTTAAGAGGAATAAAAAATTTTCGTTTTAAAGAGAAATATGTTGTTTTTCAAAGAACACTTTAAATAAAGAAAAGTAAAGAAAGGGTCTATGAAGCAAAGAAGACACCTTAAACTAAATCCCAATATTAAAAAAACATATTAAAGCAATAATTTTTAAACCCACAGTATTTCAAAGTTTTCAAATTGAACTTTAGTGATTTATCTATGTTGTAAAAGTTATATATTTGGTTATTTAAACACATGTGAGAAGACAACAATTAATTAATAATAAAATACAGAAGATACTAAACCTTAAGACAAATGAGACCTAAAAAGTTACTTGTTTGTGTTTGTTTGAGGGGTTGGGTGTCTGGAGTCATGTATTTTTAGAGATGAGAGGGACGTTAAAAATAGACTTGATTTACTGAAATTCTTCACAAATAAATAGAACACTAAGGGCTTGTTAGAAAGCTATTTTAACCTGGCCTAAGTTTAAATAAAATTATAATCAATATCACAATACTTAGGAACATTGACAAATTTATATTATGACTGCACCTTAAAATTTAATTTGTGCCCTTAAGTGAAGTGGCAGTTTTAGACTTGAATTTTTCAGACTTGAAAACCATATTTGAAAAACTAAATGTTTGCTATACGTATACTGTTCTTATTATTATTACCGATATTTCAAGTACCAAATAATACTTTTCAATGAAATGGCGACCGCCGACCATACAAAGTAAGTATTTTAAGCCAAGTATGAATGGAGATGAGTGTAGGATGAGTGGCGCGATCTTGTAGTCTTGTTAGTAACTAACGCTGACTTATTCCTTAGACACAGCTGTTATTTAATAGCCCATACAGCTAATAGCAGTGAAACTCTACTATAAAAAGATGGCAGCTAGAAACTCTAAAAGTCTGAAGGGGGTTCACTTGAGATATTTGCATCTTTTAAAAAATGATGTTCAATTATATTTTTTTTAATTTTTCAAATCAAATCAAATTTTTGTCTATTGAGGTAATGGGTTGAATTTGAGCAAGGTCTCCTATACATGCAGGATAGGGGGGTTGAAGTTCCATTAGATATCTTATCAGAAACTGATACCTTAATAATTGGGGAGGTTCAGTGATAACAATATTAAAATTGATTTTGAACTTAAGTAAGGTTATCTCACCAAAATTTATCAAAGTTAAAAATTCTAACATTCACATTGTTTTGTTTCAAAAAACAGTAGGCCTACGTCAAACTCAAACACACAAAAATAATAATCACTAACTTTCAGCAACCTAAAAGCATATATTACTCGTATATTGTATTTTGAAAATTACCAACCTTAAATAAATTAATAAGCCCATATTCTAATGGTAGAAAGGTAAACCTGGCTTAAATAGGTCAACTTAAATTATTATTTATAACTTTACTGTCTCACATCACATCTTAAGTCAATGTTAACTTGATTATTGTAATTAATTAACTTCTTCATGTAGGCTAAATTAGCAGTCAACATCTGCCTTATGTACCTATCATATTTGTAAATGATGATCCCGTATGAAATAAATAAACTTATATCCCCAAACTGCATATATAAATTTGTTTTCCAACACCATTTTGTATAACACCCCTAATTAATAAAATGTTAACTTGAAAATTATTAGTTTCCTGTACAACTCAACTGTTTCATAAGCATTTTTAAATGAATATACAATTTCTTTTAACATAAATTACTAAGACTAATTTTTCATCAAATCAACCATTAGTAGGCCTTGTAGTTGTGTATGTCTAATAGTTTTATGAGTTAACATCCTATCTGTGTGTTAAAAAATTGAAATTTTTTCCTTGGTCTTCTCAGCCAACTAGTGTTCTCATTTAAAGTTGTATTGCAGCACTCTACGAAAACTATTTTTATACAACAATAGCATGACAGAAGACAGCTATGCTAATCCTGTCACAATAAAAAGCTAGTTAAGATACCAAATACGGTTCACTAATAATTCCTTGTCATGTGGTGAACCTGTGAATCATGTGAATAAAAACCATAACAAATTACAAGACTGAAAATAAGTAAAACCATTGACTATTGAGTCAAAGGTAAAACATAAAAGTAATAAAAAATAACATGCAACTAGTCTTTTGCGTCTATTTGTATAGTTTATTAGACACGCCCCAAGTTAGGAAACGCAGTTAAAACGGGAATCTAGAGAAACCGCTTTCATTCATGATGCCAGTTTTATCATGAACTGAAGGCCGTGATAACAACGGGTCGCCGGACAAGGTCACCATATACGTTTTTATATCTAAACCATGAAATACAACATATATTAAACAACCGTGTAAAGTCCGTGAATTATGACACAGTAGTTTTAAAAAATACAGATTTTTGTTAGGTCTACTAGAAAAGATAGAGATACTTACTGGCCATGTTGCTCTGTCCAATCAACACACGGACATACGTCCTCACTAACTCCTAGCCCACTACTACTACTTGGTTGGTACTTGTTCTTGTTGGCTGCGACGTTGCGACGTAGACACTATAAACCAGTGACGTTGTGTATCCCCTCCCCCTCCCCCCACCACAGATTCCAATGTGACGCTCGTGTGGGCGCGTGCGCGTGCGGAGGTGTGTCGGTGTGTCCATGTAGGATACCGGTCTTATCACTGAACTCGTAAACGTTGCTTTCAACATTGTTCTGGACGTAAACAGATAAACATGCAATGAACTGATAAATTTTGAACTTTTTGTGTTCAATTAATCAGTATGTATAGTTTTGAACACCTTTTCAGAGCTTAATTTTCCTTGTTATACATTCTTAACTTACTGTCATCAATTTGGACTTCAGAAAAAGCATATAGATAACAGCAAAATCATAACAGCATATAGATAAGCATAAAAAGTAACAACAACAAATATCTCCTCAAGATTTAACAAAATATAAACTATGATGCTACTATTATGCTTATCTATATGCTGTTATGATTTTGCTGTTATCTATATGCTTTTTCTGAAGTCCAAATTAATATTAAATTTTTTTTGTTATTATCTGTACAATACTTTGTTAATGTTATTATCTGTAATTTTTGTCACGTTGTTGTTTTCTTGTTATTATTTTTTGTTGCAATGCTGCTTTGTTTCATGGTCATTATGTAACTTATCTTGTTATTTTTTTCTTATCTTTTCATTCTCCTCATGTGCTTAAAACACATATTTTGTAAATGGTGTATCCGTTGATATGAATAAATGAACATTCTGTTTAACTGTTACAAAATTGTTTTGCAAAGGCATCCATATATAAATCCCAAATTTGTTATTACCTTATTAAAATCATGTGTGATTATTTGTTTATATTACTCTATCCTGTTTTGTTTATTTCAGCCTTAATCAATCAATAGTTTTTATGAATACTTATGAAGTCAAACGGGGTGAAGCAATGCCCCACTATCTACGTAGTGGGGCCTTTGGTGATGACCGTGGGTAACAGCTAATTATTTTATAATTGTTATTAGAAGGTAAACATAATTTTAGGTCTTGTCAAATTTGCCAAAAAAGAGATGATAAAAAAATTAGGACAAAAATATTTTTTGGGTTTGATTTATGGTAATAATTACCATAAATCAAACAACCCAAAAAATATATTTATTTATATTTATATTAATTTCTGCCATTATTGGTTTCTTTAGTAGCCTGTCGGCCTAAAAAGTTAAGAGGTTTACCAACAGGGTGCAGGGTTTATTAATTGTTTAATATAGAGGGCATTCCTTGTACATAGCACAAGAATAACAAAAGGCCCAAGAATAGAACGTTGCGGTACACCATGTTTGATGTTTATTATTTTTGAGTTATGTTTTAATATTTTACCTGTTTCAGACACAATCTCAACATACTGTCTTCTATTAGAGAGATATGATTCAAACCAATCCATATAACGATCTGTTATACCCAGATGATCTGTTATACCCAGATTTTGCGTTTTATTTCAAAGTGTTTTGTGTGAGATAGTCAAAAAATTTTGTAAGATCCATAAAAAATACCAACTACTTTGTTTCCTTTATCAACTGCGGCATAGTGTCTGTAAAATCCATTTAAGCAGTAGTTATAGACTTGCCTTCTCGAAACCCATGTTGCTCATCATCAAAGAAATCATTATATATAAAATGCTGGTTTCACAAAAAATTGCCTGAGCGAAGAGCGGGCCAAACAACTAGTACTATATACAAATATGAAAGATGAATCAATATTTCATTAAGGAAATCACGCACAAATAATTAGGATGTTAAAAACATTAGGAAGCATATAACGATATAAAACTCTTTATTTGCAGGTACATACAATTGTAGTGAATTGTAATAATATATTATATAAAACCTAACTAAATTATTCTAATAAGTACACATAATAGACATTTAATAGTTTAAAAATAAACAGTGATGTAGTTGTAAAGTTACGACTTTGGGAAAGAAAAATACCTTTCACTCCTAAATGTCTTTACTTATGCCCTAAAAGAAACCCTGAATAAAAAAAAGAAGACAGTATTACCACTACACCACTGGCACAAATATATGTACAAAAAGACAAGATTATTTTAGAATACATTACTTAATTTTAGGATACACCTTTAAACATTTAATGTTAAAAGTATTAAAATGACACTGGTAAAATTTACTCAATCACAGTACAGTAAAAGCTTTCAATGTATCACTTCAATAGAGTGCTTAATTAAAATTGTTTAAAATAAAATTAGTATTAATGTAACAAGTTTTGGTAACTAATTAGGATATGTGTAGTACAATTTGTATGAGCATGTATTTATATTATTTTATCTTAAAGGAACATCCATGATTATTTATTTTACCTATATGGTCTTTTTCAACACTTTTTAGGAGTTATTCAGGTAAAAATTCAACAGGAAAGATGAGCAATTTAAAGATCACGCACAACTGTGAAAAAAAGTTTCAGTCCTTTAAGTTCTAGAATGATAATAGTGATTCTTATTTACAAAGATAGCTAGATTTGTTTTGGTTGATTTAACTGCTTGCCAAAATATAAGATATATCCAAAGGAAACATATATGGAACACATTAATAAATACATTTTTATAGTTCCTAGATAGTTCCATGAGGCATGATACAAAAATATGCAGAACAAATGACAACAATTTGTATCCCATCAAAATAGTTTGTAAGTTTCCTTTTGAAAACAAATCAGTGGTATCAATAAGTACTTTTCCTTTTTTGGAATAATATATTCCAAAAAGCAACTGCTATCTTGGGGAGGTTATCTATTGTATTTACAATGTAAAGCATATTTTGATTACTTCTCTCCATTTACCAGACCATTTACAGTCTCAATAGGTTTTATTTATTTGATTTTTTTAAACATTGGCACATTTAAAAAGTTTAATGTATATTAAACATAACGATAAATAGGATTTTCAGAAGAGGAGTTTTTTAATTATCTTCTGTAAAACTGGCAGAACATAGAACCTTTTACTTATTCAAGTGTTCTTGGAAGTTAATGTTTACCTAACTCTAACACTAATGCTAAAATTTGAAATTATTAGAAAAAATAAATACAACAATCTTATTTTAAATATAAATTCTAAACACATTACTTTTACGGTTTTGAAAATTAAATCTCAACACACACAGATATTTGGAAAGTTAAAAATTCAAAAATCATCAAAACTCCAAATATTTTGTACAAAAGTCTTAGCTTGATACAAAAAGGTATATTGCAGTTGAAAATTTTTTGTATCTAACAATGATAAGTATTAATCTTTACTTAGTTTTTTCAAATAATTCACTATAAATTACAAAAAAAAAAATTAAATTGAAATAGTTTTAGGCGTTTGAAATGTTTCCTTTTTTTACAAACTTATTAAATCAAGCAAATGTGTTTAACTGTGTGTGAGAAATTAAAATAGCTAAAATCAGGAAAGTTAAAGTCTTAGTTCTAAAAGAGAAACCTGAGGCCAGATGCTTTTAAAGCTGTAACATCTGGTAGTACTCTTACTCTACATACCGGTATATAAGGCTTTCCTCCGCAACTTTGTCCACTTTGTGATGTCACAAATCACAAGAGGTCATACTTATCACACAGTGTGATGTTAAACATCTTGTGATGTCATCTACAAGAGGGTGGTTAACATCCCCTCCCTTCGTACAGTCACCCCCGGCGAAGGTACAGTCAGCGTGTTGCCACTTGTTGTCGTCTGCATCGGTGCTGGGGTCTGTAGAAGTTTGTTCAACTCCTCACTGAAAATGTTATACAAATTTAATGAACACTTAGTAGATAGGTCCCCAAGTCTAACAAATAATATTTGTTCCAAAGCTAAAGCCGGGTTTACACGCTGCCAATAGGTGAGACAATTGTCGGAAGAACACTGACTGGCATGAAATTATTGGCTTCCTGTAAACACTTCAGGCCAACTGCCTTGCCAAAGCCAACTGTCCTCACAATTGCCCTGCAATTCAGTTATCTCTGCGAGTAGACTGGCCTACAACAATCACACAATTACGTGATATGACGATTGGCGAAGACAACTGTCTCATCAATTGGCATCATTTAAACCCGGCTTAAGTAGATAATATAGATATACTAGCTGGCCCGACAGACGTCACCCTGTCCTAATGTGGTTTTATGTCAAATGCTCGTTCATTTTCAAGATGAGCTCGTTCGCATGGCTCAATCACATCCTGGTTGAAGTTCATTCGCTACACTCACTCACCTTTAGGTTGGAGCTCGTTCGCTGCGCTCACTTGCCTTCAGGTTAGCTCGTTCGCTACGCTAACTCGCCTCCAGGTTGAAGTTCGTTCGCTACGCTCATTCACCTCCAGGTTGAAGTTCGTTCGCTACGCTCACTCACCTTAAGGTTGGAGCTCGTTCGCTGTGCTCACTTGCCTTCAGTTACATTTGACTACAAATATTCGTAAAAAACAAATGGAATAGAAACCTATTTGATAGCTCTAATTTGTTATGCATAGATTTGTTTTTAAAAATTAGGTTATCATTACAACAGCTGTTTCCTTAATTGAATTTAATCAAGAAATGACAAACATGGCATGGTAAACAAAATAAAACATTCTTCCATAAGATTAACATGTAAACTGCAAAGGGCCATAGGACGCTTCCCTTAAGGGTTTTTGAAACAGAAACAGGCTATTATGTTATTCTAGTACCTAAGGAATATCCCTGTAAATTTTCATGCCAATTGGTTCAGTAATTTTCTAGTTATAAACGCTGTAACTAACACAACTTTCTTTTATATATTAAGACTAGCTGTGTACCCGTTCTACGCACGGGGATCTTATAATATTCAGTTGAAACCTTCTTATATAAAGAACAGCAGTTGGTTTGCATATTTTAAGATATGCTGGCCAAACTATTATACATAGCTTCATTTTATGTTGTTTTTTGTTGTTCCGGATCGGTATGACAATCAATAAAAGGTTAAATTACCTCTGTGTCTGCCGGTCGATCCTATAACGGTAGGCTTACTTTTATTTTTACTATCTGATCTCGTTTGCATGGCTCAATCACGTCCTGGTTGAAGTTCGTTCGCTACGCTCACTCACCTGTATGTTGGAGCTCGTTCGCTGCGCTCACTTTCCTTCAGGTTAGCTCGTTCGCTACGCTCACTTGCCTTCAGGTTAGCTCGTTCGCTACGCTCACTCGCCTCCAGGTTGCAAATTAGCTGTTGTCATAAATGTAAAAGAAATAATAGTGCTAGTGCTGCACCCTGTTGGTAATCCTTGTAACTTTAATGCTATTGAACATCACAGAACAGAACCAACTTGTTTAATTGAAACAGCTGTTAAGATTCAATAATTTCATTTCTCATAAGGTTAACATGGGCTTCCAGAAATTCCACGTCAAAAATCGACAAAAACTTGATTTTCAAGGGTTTACTGTTAAATATCTAACTGTCTCATATTCGATGAAATACGTCTAAAACCATCTCATATATGTATAGTATTTGGAAAATAAGTTTCAGGCGGGACAGTGCTATAGTTATTGAGGAGTAGTTGTAATAAAGTGCGTATTTTAGCGTTACCAAGAGAATGACAGATAGACAGACAGACAGACAGACAGACAGACAGACAGAAATTGAGATAAGGTTTGATTCGGTTTCTCTGACATATGAAATGTAAAAATAACCAAAAAGTTCATTATTCTAAGCAATGTACAGACAAAACTCTAATTTTATTTATATAGATACTCACCTAAACAATCAAAAATTCTTACAATACTAAGAATAACAATAAATGTCTTAGCCAAATCAAACTGCAAATTTATCTACTGTATTATTACAGGGAAATTTAAAAACTCAAGTTATACAATATAATAAAATGGTTATTTAATAGTTAATCATAGAAATAATTATTTGAAAACAATGAATTGTGCTGCCCTAGTATAAGAAGGCAGTTTGTTAAATACCCCCGCCGCAGCAAACCTGCAGACTAAGCGAATTTCAACTTGTCTGATTAAATTTTTACTAAAATATTTCCATAAATAAGACATATTTATTCCTTATTTAAATAACATTAGATTAAACGAGTGCTTAGGTTTGCTGCTACAGGGAAAGTAAAAAGTTTTTTTTGACCATACGTCAATAGAATAGGATGAAATAAATAAATTTGCCAAATTTTATCAATATATCCATAAACAAGTAAACTACAACAATTTTCATTTTCTCCATAAGAATAACATGGGAATTTTAAATTACACTATTTTTTAATTTTTTCCGTGACCGTTAGGCATACAACAGCGCTTCAATATACTAATATACTTCAATATACTAATATACTTCAATATACTAATATCTTACTAATATTATAAATCTGAAAGTTTGTGAGTTTGTGTGTATGTTTGTGTGTATGTTTGTGTGTATGTTTGTGTGTGTGTTTGTTGCTCAATCACGCATAAACTACTGGACGGATTGGGCTGAAATTTGGCATGATGATAGCTCACATTCCCGATTAACATTAAAACATATTCTTATCTCAAAAACCCTTTCGGGCTCCACCCCAGTGGCTCTGTAGTTCCCCATGTTAATCTTATGATTTTTCATATTAAAAAGGAATTAATGAATCTTAACAGCTGTTTCAATTAAACAAGTTGGTTCTGTTCTATGATGTGCAATAGCATAAAAGTTACAAGGATTACCAACAGGGTGCAGCACTATTAATTTTTTTTTTTTATTTATGACAACAGCTAATTTCCAACCAAAATGTGAGTGAGCGTAGCGAACGAACTTCAACCTGGAGGCGAGTTAGCGTAGCGAACGAGCTAACCTGAAGGCAAGTGAGCGCAGCGAACGAGCTCCAACCTAAAGGTGAGTGAGCGTAGCGAACGAACTTCAACCAGGACGTGAATGAGCCATGCGAATACTTATGAAGTTAAACGGGGCGAAGCCCGCGGGTACAGCTAGTACTTCAATATATACGATCCGCCATGTGTGGCCCCGACTTGCAAATTTCCATCAGCCTGATAGGATTTACACTAAAATGCCTCCTCAAAAATATCACATTTATTCCCTATTTAAATAGAATTAGTTTAACGAGTACTTAGGTTTGCTGCAACAGGGAGGGTAAAAAGGTGATTTTTTTGTAAAATGTAATAGTTTAGTAAGAAAAGAATTCATTTTCCAAATTAGATCAAAATATGTTCATAAACAAGCAAACTACAACAGTTGACTTATTCGCCATAAGAATAACATGGGAATTTTAAATTTACAATTTTTTTAAAATTTTCTCCGTAACCATTAGGCGCACAATAATGCTTCAATATACTAAATTATTTCTTTTTTTAAGCTCTACAAAACGGTTTAGAAAGATATTGCAATTTTTTTTTAAACTTTTTTTTTAACTTTTTTTTTAATTTTTTTGCCATAAAACCCCCATAAACCCCCGTTCCTATGGTCCGATTATGCTGGAACGGGAACTCGTTCGAATAAACGTAGGTTTACACGTTTGTACCAAATTTCATCAAAACCGCTTCGGATCATCACTTGTTTGCCGAGCATGCTTGCTGGTTGTTAGACATATTTTGACTTCCGGCACTCGCATTTGCTCGTCTCCTTTGACACGTCCCAAAAACCGACAAAAACTGGAGCACAGGCGAGCACGAATCATGGCGAGGCGAGCTATCCCGAGCGTACACAAGCAGCCCGGGTACAATTTTGTGCTCGCCTTAGCTGGCCTATATTCGGCAATAGTGTACTGCTAGCATGACCATCCCTCACGGCCGTGTAGACATCGCAATAAGGCTTCCTGGCTTCCTAACTTCAGCCTGAGAAGCTGATCTAGTAACCTATAACAGTTAACTGTTACAGCTTACTATAATCTGAAATATGTGCCTGTATAAAATGCAATGTATTATATATATTTACCTGTAAGACGCAGCCTTCTGCATCTGACCCTCATAAGTAGACAGTCTATGTTCACTGTCCAAGTTGATGGACGGAGTCCTCACGACCACCGGGGCAGGTCCGTTAGTTTCCAGAAGCTTCTGGTTTTCTCCGTGGAACGAGTGGCGTCTCTCTTTCCCGTTATTGTTCATCCTCGCTCGGAACTCCCTCATTTCTGTCAAAGCTGCGACTTTTTTCGGAGATCTTTCGTCATCACCATAAAGTAGAACATGGCGAACCATGAATGTAGTAATTACAAATATTGCCGTAGCTAACAGCAGAAAAACTGAAACATTGAATCAAACAAGTAAAAAATGTTGGTAAATTAAATTAGCAAAATATTGTTCAAAATTGTTTACCAAAAAGCTAGGGATGAACGGGAAATTTTAAATCTCGTTCTACGAGGCGAGATTTGATTCGATCAAGAATTTTTCGAGACGAGATTATAAAAAAACGTTTAAACGCCTGCAGAAAGTTTATGCAATACTGCAATACAGGAGCGCGTTGTTGTTGCGTTTCCTTTGTGAAGGCGTTCTTATCTATTCCTTACATGTAAATATTGCTTTAATTATTTAGTATTTTTTTGTTTTAACATCGCAAATGATGAGAAGTTTTGCTAAGTTTAAGCAGTGTGAGACATGTTTTACTTTTATAAAGATAGCCAAAACAAGTCACTCCAAAATCATTCTAAAAATATAACACAAGACTAAAAAATTGTTACTTAACTAGGTAGTATGACTGATGTTTTAGACTGATAAATTTTGTATTTTTCAAACTTTAACAATATCCTAACTGACATCACCAATCACTATTTTTCCTATGCGTAAGAGGTATTTTTAATAAGGTAGGCATTTAATACTGATGTTTTTTATAGATTTTTTAAAAATAAAAGATTTTAAATGTTCCACTATTATTATAATTTTTTTTTTAACCAGTCATCTGTCATAAATTAGTAGGTATTTAACAATGTTACAAAATCAGGTTAAAATGCCTAACATGCATTTCCCGTTATGTATGAGAAGGGAAATCCCGCCTCACTATTGTCTCAAAATTTTATGAGGAATAAATAAATCCTGTCTCTTCTCAAACTAAAAATCCAATCTCTTCTTAAAAAAGCTAATAAGACCGTATATGTATCATAGATAGTTAGTATATTTACAAAATATTTAGAATCACTAAAAATTAAATTGTGAACATTTAAGAATCCAACGAGTTCAAGGAATCCTCTTATTGACTTACAAATAGTGGTAAGGTTGATGTAGGTCACGAAGGGTTGAGCTTCATGCAGCCTGCACTCATCTGTGCCTGAGACTATGCAGGATATACCTAGAACAGAAATATTGCTTATTATCATCTGAAGATTTATTCTTTTATTTTGCAGAAATACTCTACTTATAATAGTTGTTTTTAGAATGCACACTACTCTTATACTTTTTAGTTAGAATTTTAGTTCCTGTTGTAGAGTTATATTTTCTTTCTGCAGTTAATATGCTATGAAATAATGTATAATATGCTATGATGTATAGTAACAAGAAAATTTGATTATTGAAATTTTCGTTTGACATATCAACCACCAGGGTACTTAGATTGTGATCATGTGTTTTTCAATATAAACGATTAACATTTACTTAAATCAGAAATAGAAGTTTCAGGGTCTCCAGTTTATCCTTGAGAAAAGTCAGTATAGCTTCTTTATGATTAAATACCCCCACCATAGCAAACAGACTCAGCGAATTTCCATTTACCCGATTGGATTTTCAGTTAAATCTATTTAAATATCATTAGGTTTAACAAGTACCTAGGTATGCTGCTACAGGGAGAGTAATAAAGTGTGTTTTTTAGCAAAATAAATAGCTAAGTATAAAATAAATAAATTTGCCAAGTTTGAACAAAATATATACAACAACATAAACAAGCAAACTACAACAGATAACTTATTCTCTTTAAGAATAACATGGGAATTTAAATTTACAATTTATTGAATATTTTTTGTAACCAGTAACCGACAAATTAATGTTTTTTTAATAGTAAATAAATCTGACAATTTTTAGGGAATATTTTAGTAGAAATCCAGCCAGGTAAATGGAAATTCGCTTAGTCTGCAGGTTTGCTGCGGCGGGGGTATTTTTCAATTATTTAACATTAGGATGGCTTAAAATTGCACACCTTTTTACTGTCTTTATATAAAACACCCAAAGTTTTTATATTATCAGCTGTGATGAAAATCAACATACTTGTTTACAAACTAATCAGCTGATTTTTATGTTTTCTGACGATGTTATTGTTTATTCAATATAGTCAGTTCCTCTAACTTTTTACACTCACTTTCAAAGTGTACACTCAGTGTAAAAAGGTTAGTGGAACTGACTACATTGAATAAACAATAGGTAACATTTTCAGGCAACAATAAAATCAGCTGATTAGTTTGTAAACAAGTACTTGACTTTCAACACAGCTGATATGAGTTTTTTGTGTGGTTTGTTGGAATTTTAAAAACAGTAAAAAGATGTGCAATTTTAAGCCATCCTAATGATAAATAATTGATAAAAAAGACACTTTTGGGGTCGTGTAATATTTTATTATTGTTTGAAATAATCTAAAATCGCTTAAAAATAACTTGTAAAGTGGATGGAGACTGTTCCATTGTTGTGGCAGACTTTAACTACAACTAACCTCCAGCGATCACATATTACTAAAGCTGCCATATCTCAGTTAATACTAAAAAAATTAAGTGTTAATCGATTTGTAATTAAATTGCCGGAAAAAAATACATTCTTGTAAATCTTTTGTAAAATGAACGGTTTTTGAGTTATTTAAGAAACAAAATTTTAAATGACCACCATTTTGTTTAATGAATTTTAAAAATTGTCATAATTTTTTTGTTGCTTTGCCTAGTTGTCATAAATATTTGTGCAAAGTTTCAATTTCATATCTTTTGCCACTTTTTAGAAAACAATTAATTAGTGAAAAACTCAAATGGCGGCTGTGTGATTTACTAAGGACTTCCGGACAATTTGAATATGAAATTTGGATATGTTTCTTACCCAGGAACAATACCCTAAAATATCCGACACCAATTCTAAAACACCCTGTATATACATAAATAAACATTTGAAAGAATAGTGTTTTTGGCCTCTAGGGACTTAAAAATTAAAAAGTATATATATTAATCCCGGACCCAGGTCTTACTGTGCCACCTAAAACTGGAAAATTTTCTAAAACTTGATTAATCCATCCTGTGTTAAGGCCACTTAAATAAATAATCGTGTTAAATATATAATCGATAAATTAATAACTTTGATAAATAATGAGTAATCGTGTGTCACTAATTCCATATTCATCTTTCATTCATATTTATTGGGTTAAAATATACTGTAGTTAGTCCCTTTCTTAAAATAGCATTAAAGGTAGGCCTAGTAATAGTGATATACAATAACAGAACCAGCATCAAAAAGCTGTAGAGCTAATATTGAAAACAAATGAAAAAATGCTCTTCAAGGTTCAATGGGCTGGTTATTGAAATTGTCAGTATAAAATTTGTGACATTGATATTCAAGCTCCCTTTATTACGAGTAGTTTGTAGGGAAAAATAAATTAAATAGCTATAAATATTGACCATACTTACGAGCGACGATGAGGAAGAGTTGTCTTCCAGGAATGGTAGCCAGCAGCGAGACAAGAGACATCTGAAGGGCAATCATCAGGGGTTTGTCACAACTCAGCACCACCCTGACACAGAGACACACAAGCATGACATGAGTGAGATATTTCAAACTTAAATACCCCCGCCGCAGCAAACCTGCCGACTAAGCTAATTTCCATTTGTCTTAATTGATTTTCAAATAAATATATATTTTAATAACATTAGGTTTAACGAGTACCTAGGTTTGCTGCTACAAGGAAACTAATAAAGTGTGTTTTTTTGTAAAATATTGATAGCTTAGTAAAAAATAAATAAATTTGATAAAAATACAAAATATATCCATAAGCAAGCAAACTACAACATTTGACAATATTCTCCATAAGAATAACATGGGAATTTTAAATTTACAATTTTTTTAATTTTCTCTTTTACTATTATAACTGAACAAAAATACTTTTATATACTAAATTAATCGTTATTTTACGCTCTTTAAAAAGGTTTAAAGAGAAATTGGGAAATTTTGTGTTTTGAGGGTCAAAAGTGAGAAAAACCAATTTTTACCCCATAAAACCCCCCGTAAAGCCCCGTTCCCATGGTCCGATCATGCTGGTTCGCGAACTCATTCAAGTTTATCCCGCTTTACACCTTTAAACCAAATTTCATCAAAATCTGACAAAAAATACTCAAGTTATCGCGTTCACGGACGTATATATATATGTCTACGTATATATATATATACATATATAAAAATTTGAACGAATGGTGTTTTTGGCCTCTGGGGACATCAAAATGAAAAAGTAAATCGGTCCCGGGTCTCTTACCATGCCACCTGCGGTAATAGCTACTTCCCTATAGGGAAATTCACTAAAAGACATGGACACAATTAATTGATGTCCTTCACCATAATGACCTCATATAGTGTAGCAAAATAAGACATCACAATATTGTAACAAAGGAAGACATAACTGGTTTGACATAGTGGGGCATTGTAATTATTATTGTGACAAATTGACACATTGAAAAACTTGACTTGGATAATGGATAGTTACACATATCACAAGCAGGGCCGTATTTCCCTAACGGCGGACACGGCGGTTGCCGGGGGCCTCGGCCTAGAAGGGGGCCTCACTTGGGGCCTCAAATATTATTTTCTTGATGAATTTATTTCACTAATCATCTTTTTCGCAGCGATAGCGGGAGCTGTTGATGAAATTTGAGAGACCGCAAAAGATCCTCGCTATTTCCCCGTTAGCGTAGGAGTTGTCTCTATTCGCCCGTCATCGCGGAAGAAGTCCAAGATTGTATCCCGACCGCGGGAGACGATGATGGCGTTTACACGGCCACGGGAAATGAACTATCACGCAAGACGACGATCCTGTTTTCGAAACCGCGGGAGACGATGATTGTGTCTACAAGGCTGCGGGAGATGTTCATGATTTTGCCGCTATCGCACAAGACGACGATCACGTTTTCGTGACCGCGGGAGACGATGATGATGTCTTCACGACCACGAGAGATGTTCATGATTTTGCCACTATTGCGCAAGACGACGATCACGCTTTCGTGACCTTGGGAGACGATGATGATGTCTACACAGCCGCGCAAGATGTTCACCATTTCTCTGAGACCACATGAGTCGTTCATGAATCCGCCGCGATCAGAGGAGACAGAGATAACGTCTCAGCGCTCACGCAAGATTTTCACCATTTCCCCGCGGCCACATGTCGAGACGTTCATGATTCCGACGTGATCGGAAGGGACTGAGATGACATGTCAGCGTTAATGCAAGAAATCAATGGACCCTTTTATTAGCTAGTCTCCTAGGACTCTTTCAATCAGATTGTTGGAAACAAAAGGTCAATTGATCGACTTGAAGCAATACCATGTGTATTTCTAAACCCTTAAGCTCCAACCTTTGAAGAGTCAGAATATAGAGTGGGGACTCTCTGGTGAGAGCCGCCGGGGGCCTCATAGATTCTAAATACAGCCCTGATCACAAGCCTACATACAACTTATAAAGTGACATTTCATACCCCTTACAAATTATACACTACAAGTGTAATAAAGTATGACAAGTTACACATAATGAGTGTGGCACTTTAATGCATCCTAAAAAGTAGGATTTTGTTTTATAAACAACCTAAAGTTAAGTTGTATTTCATTTTTGATGTTGGCCTCCGGATTATGTTTAATATATGAATAATTGGTGTAGAAACTTAATTGTAATCCAAATTGTTGCTTATATGCTGAAACTAGTTTTGACTTTCAAGAAGTAATCTTCAGGCGTCAATGGATGTCATGATCACTTCATCAGAAGGTCGTTAATTCACATATAGTACTTAGACACAGGACTCGCCAACATTGAAATGATAAAACGAAACATGGTGCATTTAAAACAAGTAAATTGTGAAAAAAGGCAACACTACTAACAAGGTACTATGGGAAATGATGCATCACAACCGAATGGATAGAGTCAACCCTCCCTTGACAAGATAGTAGCAGGCATTTACACTAATTCGTAAATTTTATTGGATCACAAAGTGGATAAAGGAGTATTACAAAACAAAATTCATGAACGAAATAGAGAATAATTCAAATAATACCTAAAAGAGAGCATAAGTAGTCCAACTACAACCGAGGCCACAAGCACAGCTGCAACCACTGTTAGAATCTCAAATGTTATCCCGTAAATCTGACAGATGCCGTTGTCGTAAATACCATTCACGACTGACTCTGTAGGAACACAGGAACAGTTCTTGTAGACCTGTAACAGCATTTCTTTCAGTATACCCTCTTCAGGGACGTTTTTTGAGATTCAAAGACATTTGAGATTTGTACGCAAATGAGTACAGATATTAAAATCAAATTTCTGGTTTTGTTTTAAAAGGTAATGTAGTAAACTAAATATTATTTGAAAGGTGAAAGCATAAAATATCATAAACAAAAATTATTAAGTGTATATGTACATTATAAATGGGTTTCACAACACATCAAAGTTCACAAATTCACTGATTCACACATAACCTCACGCAGTGTCCCTTTCAACTGAATATTTTGTTGCCTTAGAAACATGTGGGAAGGAAAGGAACCAGTGCTACCAACTTTTGAGAAGTTAATGTAACCAATAATAACCACTGTACAAATGTGGGTGTTTGAGAATAATACAAAAAAAATTGAAAAAAGTTAATGTACCCATATGAGCCTTACTCCCTGAAGAGGATACAGTAGAGTCCCGCAAAGTCGTCGTAATGTGGACTGGAAGGGTGCCGAGTTTGTGAAATGCCGGTCTATGGGGAACTAGGGTTTAAAAGAAGAACAATACAATTTTTAAGCTAAAATTAACTACCTCTTTTATGTATATTTTTTCAAGTTAGTATTAAGTCATCAGATATAGTACAACAAATCATTTGTACGAGCTGAGAATGATTTGACTTGAGCTGGCTTGAGTCCATGTTTAACTCGGACTCAAAAAATCACTAATTTTCTGAGCCAGGTGATGGCCGAGTTATCCAGACTGCCGGGTTATCGAGTGCCGAGTTTGCGGGACTCTACTGTATTATGGTGTGAACAAATTTGTGATAATGTGGTTTATTAAAGAGGAATTTTGAACAAAATGTAATGAGAAAACTGTTAGCCTATTTATGAAACCAATTCAGAGTAACAGAGATATGTAACCAAGAATCAGTTGTGAAATAAGGGGAGTCATTACTAAAAATGACCAATTTTGTAAAAAAAATTAGATTTTTTATTGTTTTATGGGAGTAGGGTTTGAGAAAGCACAACATATGGTAAAATATATATTTTTATCACTGTAAAAAAATATTTAAAGTGGAGCGTGTGCACCTGTTTCTATAGTTACTAAGTAACCTAGTCTGCTGTTTTCCGTAACTTTAAAATGTTCTTATTTTTTACATATAAGTTCTTATAACTTATAACTTTTTAACTATTAAGGCTAATATGAATGAAATTTTTACCACACATTATTTATACTATAAAGCAGCTTTTTGTGCATGGATATTGTAAAAGATAAAATACAAGTTCATGAAGAAAATTAAAAAAAAATAATCAGCTACAATCCATAAAAAAAATATATTTATAATGCCATAACTCCATAAAATAATTGAGAACAGAATATGAGTATGCATAAAAAGTCAGTACTTTTACTTTTCTTTCTCTTGGATAATCAAAAAATAAAATTTGTTCAGTAGTAAAAAAGTGTAATAGGAGGGTCAAATATTGTAAAGAGGAAGTGTTTGGCAATGTTGTGTGAGTAGGCTGGTAGTGTTGTTAAACAATAACTTGTTGTGCTGACCTACTGAAGGCTGTTGCTTTAAGTAGGCCAGTGCACTTGATCAAGGGGTCAGTTTTGGTGGGTAGTGTTTGTGAGGTGCACCGGAGGACAGGGTCCTGCTGGGGAGCTGGAGCCCAAGGCCCTTGGCCTTGGGTCCAGGTAAGACAATGTAAACGGTTTTCAAAATTGGGGTTTAGAGTCTTTTCCAAATTGGGGGTTAAGCTACTAACTAATTTATACAGTTCCAGTCTACTCTACCTTTTTGATTGTTAGTTATCTCTGTGTTCTTTGTGTTGTTTTGAGTAATTAATAAAGTTGGGTTTTGTAAACGAGTGCTGAGTTTCATTCCTGAGCTACGTCACCCAAAGTAACAGTAGGTATTCCAAGAGGAATACGACCGTTACAAAAGTTATAAGAGATTTTAAAAACACATATATAAAATATATATATATATATATATTTGACATAAGCACAGGTCTAATAAAACTGTTTTATTGATTTTATCTTGACTTTATGGCACATTTTAATTATAAAACCTACGGAACTTTCAACTTTACTAACTGTACATACATATTCTAGTCATTCTTCTATTGTATCTGAATGTTTATGAAATATCCAGATGAAATCAACAACCTTTTGTCTTGATCTATATAATTTGCCACCTTAAAGTGCATACCTAAGTGTAAACAGGTTTTTTAAGTGTTATTCCTAGTTTTTACCAGATTCTTGAAATAAAACACTCACCTTGTCCTCTCCTATATATGAGGCTGTGGTACACCCGGCGTGGCATGGAGAAAAGTACACAAGTTTAGCATGTTTGGCGTACACTGGGGTGAAGGCGAGGTCTTCCCTGCACTGGCAGTCCTTGTTACAGTACATTGTCAGGTCCAGTCTGCATCAATATAACATGAGAGTAATACACATTTGATAGTAAAGGCAAATGTATTCTACAGATGTTTTTTTAAGAACCTTTTGGTACTGAAAGAAAAGAGTAAAAATTAAGTTATTTTTAATAGAAGACTCAATGGAAGGTCATCACACAAAATAAAATTATTCACTGATTAGTATATTTTGTACCAAGGGTCGGAAATGAGGTTTTGCCAGCTTGAGATAGTTTTTAACCTTCGTTTAAAATTAAAACCTTCGAGAACTGCAAAGCAATTTCTGTCCGTGGTACAAACGCTATTTTTCAACACACTATACCCTATTACCACTATTCACCAGAATAATAATAAACACAACTCAGCTTTAAGATTTTATGTGAAGAAATATTTTGAGGAATAATGTATAGTTGCTAGGCAGCGGCGACAATAAAACAAGTCTAATATTGCAATGCTATGGATACTGATTGTGTATTTAAAATATGCATTAATGTTTTAAGAAAATAAGCAAACAGCTGATTTTCTGCCCTATGGATGTAAAAACCTGCTTGGCCCCCAAATGACGATGTCAGCTAGCATGGGCAGCAATTCATTACTTTCAGCCTGTAATAAATGTTTGTAAAACGGCTAAAAACATTGTAGTGTGGTAAAAAAACATTATGCATGGCAGGGCATAGTTGTTATAGTTACTATCATTTGGATTCTAATAAAGATAATTCTCCAATAAAAATAAGGTTCTCCTTGTGGGGTGAGACCTATCCTTTCTGTTTTTCCTTCCTTGATAGATAGCCTTACAATGGGGCTCAGAACCAAGAAATACGGCATTAGTACATAGCTGAAATAACTGGAAGCCAAGGTTTGGTAGGATGGATCTGGGCTTCCAAAACAAAAATCCCTAGCTCTAACCACTAAATTATCCTCTAAGGAAGGTAAAATGTTGTAATTAATTAATCATCTTGTTAATTTAAAAAATCCTTGCATCCTTGTGTAATGTTAAAGTCATTATATTGTAAACTGGTTCAGTCAGTGTAATCATATCAAGGGTTGTAAGTTCACCATCAATAAATTGTCAATTTCAGAGAAAATATTGTATCTCTTGACAGTTGTTGTAAAATATTCCTGGCACAAAGCACAGATCTTCAAAGTTTCAGAGACTATTTTGCATGATTGGCTAGCAATTCCTTTCTGTGTAAACTTGTTTGAAACAATACCACTAGTATAGGACAAGTACAGTACATATTCCCAACAGCTAAAGCAGTAACAATCTGTAACCGATTCAGAGTTTCTAATGCAAAAAAAAACTTATCATCTTTTTGTTGCCATTAGTTTAGTTTATTATTTCAGCACTCTGTGAACTAGTACTCGGAACTCAGAATGTGCACTGGAAATTAAAAATTACTTTTCACCAAACTATGATATTTTTGGCTGTGTTACAAACGTTAATTGGTGGCTGAAAGTTACGTTTTGCTGGCCATGCCAGCTGTCATCGTAATTTGGGGACCGAGCAGGTTTTTACAGCCCGGGGCCACAAAGTCAGCTGTCCGCTTACTTACCTAAAACATGAAGGCATTTTAAATACACAATCAAAATCCATAGCATTGCAAAAGAATTGTGTTACAGTATTGTCACCGTTGCCTAGCAACTATTTATTTTTATTTTTGCTGATTCCTCAAATTTTGTCTTCACATAACCTTATAGTTGTAGTTGTGTTGACTATCAGTCTGCATTATTATAGTGGTGAATAGTGGTAATAGGGTATAGTGTGCTGAAAAATAGTGTTTGTACCACGGACTCGACTTCGTCTCGAACCTAAAAACTATCTCGAGCCGGAAAAAACCTCATTTTCGGCCCTAGGTACGAAATATACTATTCTACCTAACTAATTTAAAAACAAAGCCTAACTTTTTTTGGATCATACCTGTTCTTGCTTTCCGTGGTTATTTTGACGTCAGAGCAGGTGATAAAGATGTTGGCTACAAACACAGCCGCAGTGAGGAAGAAGGCCGCTGTAGCCCAGACTGATACCTTGGTGGGCGTTGGCTCTGAGCGGAACATGAGGATACCAGACGCAAGGATTGTAGCTCCCGTCACCACAGGCCGGACAAATGCTGAAACACAATGCTGGAGTTGTAATAATGTTCGACATGTGGAATACAAATATTTAACACTTTTGAACACCATTTTGTGAGATTCCAAAAAGTAAAAATAGAGATATGATTCTATCATAAATTGTAGTGGTTACAAATTAGAAAATGAAATAGTATTATTGGGAGAAGATGTAGGTATTTCCATAAAGTGGGGAGGGTAAATATGAACTATTTTTATAAGAAACGTTTAAATATAACAGAACATTGTTAACTCTATCTCTTATTTCAGTTGAAATTAATTTGCATCTATCTTTATTGGATCTAAGAGTAGATCCTACATACATTATAATATGTTGCAAGTAAGAAATGGCATGTTTGATGAATAATTTTATTTTTACTATTAGTCATGGCAAATAGTCTTCTTTGGCCCTTATTTAACGCTCAATCATTAAATCATGCATCAGCAAGGTTTCTACTGAGTCTTCCTTAAAAAGCAATAAACCTGATGCTGTTTGTAGATAACAGTCCAACCTTCCCCATAACACTCATACTTCTAAATCCTACCTAATAATCAGGAACACTGCATTATATATTTACTATTGCTCATTACTCTGGACAGTAAACCAATTTTTTTAGTGCCTGGAAATTTAACTTTCTGTGAACCCAAACATTTATTGGTCTGACCCAATTTAATTTTATTTTGCACCCGATTGTGCATATTTAATAGGTATGTTTGCTATATGAATTGTGATTTTTAGTTAGAATTTATGGTTAAATTTAAATAGAAGAGTGTGTAGAAGCAGTTTTGAGGACACATTTCAGTGTTATCATAGCCTAGAAGAGCATAAACAAATGTCTTGTACACAGAAAAAATGTTTATCTCAGCCCGGCAATCATAATGAAAACACCATGGAGGTTATCTGGTAGTAAGTAATAAGTGTACTGTAATCAAACATAAGGGAACTTACTGACTATCTGTCTGGTGAGCCACGAATCGTCGAATCCGTTAGCCTGAGCTGCATAGTAGACAGACTCCTCGTAGCGAGTGAGAAGATAGCTGAAGTTCCAAATGGCTGTCATAGCAAGTGTCAAGCCAAGCGTGATCATGAGGAATATACGATTGGTCAGCACTCGCAGAAAAGACCCGTAAAAGCCTGCAGCAAAATAAAATATTTAATGATACAAACTATGTTTTAAAAGAATGACTAAGGCACAGAAATGATCATTATGAGCTGTTAATGAAAAGATGACTCATTTTTGGAATTTTATGATATACAGTTTTTACCTATATAATTCTGCAAGTTGACATTAATTAAGCACTTCTAATTGATAATAATGGATTGAGTTTTTAGTCGAGGCGCTGATGGGGTTTGAACATGCATAAAAGTGTAACGAAATTTGACTTTTGATTGTTGCTATGGGTACCTAGTAGATGAAGAAAATCGATGTTGTCGCATTTCTAGGTGGTTAATAACATGGGGGGGAGGGGGTAAAGTTGGGGGACCGCGCGGGGGGCCGCCGCGTACAAAATAGCTTATATCTCAAGAACCAAAAGTCATATGAATACGTTAGACATGTCAAACTGTGCAGAAAAATGCATTCTACAAAGAGATTATGTAGTAGTTTCACGGAAATTGACAAGAAGTTACTAAAAATATATTTTTTAAATTTACGATAAGTATAATCAGGAGTATAATGGTTTTTGTTGTTGTTTAGAACCAATAATTTTTAATTGACAACTTTTGAGAGTAGTACACAATAGATAAATAGTATTTCTGTATAATGATACTATTGCGGTACATAACTTAACAGCTATACAATTCTCAGATCCAATAAACATAACACAAACAAAGGCGCAAAACGCGTCGCGGTCATTGTTCCTGCTGCCGTAACTATTAATGGCGAGTACATTTCAAGCTGAGACTTATATTATACTTTTAGAAAGGTGGAGATTCTGAGGATTCATTTTCATATATATAAAATAGTATTGAGCGACTATTATGTAGCGAGAAATATAGTTTGTAAAAGAAGAGAGTTCAAAATATATTTTGGTGGTTGAACGTTCCCATCACCTGACCAGGCTGCACAATTGGTGCAACAGCTGTTTCGGCGATCGCGTAAAGGTAGTGTAAACGATACGAGTAGAAAATGTTAAATACAAGCCTTGGCGAGTGCCTTAAAAACTTCTACGAGTGTCGTTAACACTATTTACGCGAGTTGTGTGCATTAATTAACCTGCGACAGTATATTAATTACCAAAAACCACTACTCAAAACTTAAAAAGAGAGGTTATTTTTTCTTTACCCCTCATTGTCTCTGATAGTAATGCAACGAATCATCGCACCAATCGTTAACAATTAAATTTGCCTGAACAGCTGATTAGTTGAAGTTCGAAGCATTATAATTTTACTTCTTCTCTCTCAATCCTTGGCCCTATCTGGGTACCAGTGGTGGTCATATTTTGGCCCTTTTGTAGTGGTACCATATATTTTACCAGAGAACAGTTACATGCCCATATAAGTAGATATCTATTATATACAGTATGTTTCAGTGATAAATGTAGAATATAATAATATAAAAATATATATATTTTCAGCAATGCTTTTAGGCGTAGTAGCAAGAGGTTTGCAAATTTTTGGATTATGCAAATTAGAAATGTCTAAATCAACCGCAAAAATCTTAAAAATAATGTTTTTATCCATATTATCTAAATGTAAAGGTTGTTTAAAATATGATTCCTTACGTAGAAATATCAATGTTTTTTTTTTAATACGCATAAAAATAAAATTATAAAAAACTACATAACTATTTTAGTTACCAAATTTTATTTAATTGTTGTATAAGAAATAAATTTATTGCATCAACAGTAAATAAATATTATACTGCTGTAACAATTCAGTATTTTCACAAAAATTGTCTATAGAATAATTTAATTTTTACCATATGTTTTTATTTTTATCAATATGTCAATCCATCTCCCTTTACCAAACTTTGTATAATATATGGCCAAACAGACCAATAGGTAATTGATTCAATACAATATAATATAGAACATTTTCAAATAACCTTATTTCATGTAAATATATAATAGCCTATAACTTTTTGTAACAAAATTGCTTCAAATTCAATAATTTTACATAAATAACTTGTCGAAATTCAAATTTAGCTCTATAGCAAATGAAAATTGTTATAATATATGTGTGAACAGTGGCCTACAATTTTCCGTGATAAAGTCAGCATTGACATGTGTGAATGCAACAATGCATCAAACCTTCCTCACTTCCAAGAGTGCTGAGATAGTACGAAGATATAAATTGTAAACTGCATATTTTAATAAAAAAAAAATCTAAAAAAGTGCATATATTTGGAATAAATTAGTGAAATTTGATTAAAGAAGATCCGTCCTTGTTACAAACATTAATAACTACACAACATCAAGAAATTTAACTGTGAAGAAGAGATCAATTTTGGTGAGATCACTCCAGCAGACCTTTTCTTTCCTTGGATGGAGGCCATTAGAACATTTTTAAGCCTAACTTTTGAACTTTTGTATGTACCAGAATTTAAAAGTCAAGAAACTAATAGAAGCTTATTCAGAACATTAATTAATTCAACCTATCAGAAAATAATTCGAACATAATTTATATTTCAATACAAAATTTAATTACGCTATATATAATCACAAGATTAAATTCAAACGCCACTCGATCACCCCACCTGAGATAAAGATCCATGCAATATAACCCCTCAACCTAAATTAGAACTATTGTAATAGGCCTAGCCTAAAGTTTTAATTAGTAAATTCATTTGCCACCCTTTGTAAACTTTTATTGTGAACCCTTAGTTTCTTTTCTTTTACTATCAATTTTGTATTGTAATAAAATAAATTTAAGTTTAGATACTGTACATGGAGTTTCCATTGTATTCCTAGCTTACACTGGTTACACTGCATAATTTAAGAGTAAAAGCTCTTTCTAAAAATATATAGTTAAATGTAGTTGAAATCTAAATTTCCTGACTAACGTCAGAATGTGAAATGTTAACATTTTTTACGAAAACATAATTTTTATGACCTTTTCAAAACTACACAAAATTGTTATAACCAACCTCAGATTCGGAGATATATAAATTGTAGGGAATTTATTGCAGTTTCAGATGTTGATGGAAACGTTCAACTACCAAAATATGTTTTGAACTCTCTTCTTTTACAAACTATATTTCTCGCTACATAATAGTCGCTCAATACTATTTTATATATATGAAAATGAATCCTCAGAATCTCCACCTTTCTAAAAGTATAATATAAGTCTCAGCTTGAAATGTACTCGCCATTAATAGTTACGGCAGCAGGAACAATGACCGCGACGCGTTTTGCGCCTTTGTTTGTGTTATGTTTATTGGATCTGAGAATTGTATAGCTGTTAAGTTATGTACCGCAATAGTATCATTATACAGAAATACTATTTATCTATTGTGTACTACTCTCAAAAGTTGTCAATTAAAAATTATTGGTTCTAAACAACAACAAAAACCATTATACTCCTGATTATACTTATCGTAAATTTAAAAAATATATTTTTAGTAACTTTTTGTCAATTTCCGTGAAACTACTACATAATCTCTTTGTAGAATGCATTTTTCTGCACAGTTTGACATGTCTAACGTATTCATATGACTTTTAGTTCTTGAGATATAAGCTATTTTGTGCGCGGCGGCCCCCCGGGCGGCCCCCCAACTTTACCCCCTCCCCCCCATGTTATTAACCACCTAGAAATGCGACAACATCGATTTTCTTCATCTACTAGGTACCCATAGCAACAATCAAAAGTCAAATTTCGTTACACTTTTATGTATGCTCAAACCCCCTCAGCGCCTGGACTATTTGTTGTAGCTTATACTGCAGTTCTGGTACGTATAAAGCTGGATCTTCCTAGGTGTGGAAGCAGAACAGGGAGAGCGAAAAACCTATTTACATGGTGGTCCGTTCCACTTCTTGGAAAACACTACCATTACATTTCCTAAGACAAGAGGAGAGTGGACTCCACTTTCAGCGCCTAGAAAAACCCAGCTTAAGGTAAATAATTAATTATTACAAGAATTTACAAACATTAATTGCAGACTCACCTTTTGTTTTTGTGAAGTATATACTGCTGGATGCTAATCCACCTTGGTTGTCTAGTAAACTACGAGGAAACATTCCAATTAAAATTGAGACCACAAGCATCAACGCTCCAAGAACTAAAAAAATTGAAAACATAAACAGAAACCTGCAAAACCATTGAATATACTGTTCAAATTTCATTATTAGATATTAAAGTATTTTTCATGAGCATAAAATACTCGTTGAGTACCGCTACTTGTAGCAGGAAAATAAAGGAGTCACTATAAGACTTGACGTAATTTATTTTGGAGTGTACAAAACACATAAGAATCTATTTGCAAACAAAGCTTTATTGGTCAATCACAATCGATGGGAAATTTGGAGAAAGTTCATTAGCATCAGAAAGGTGATATGATTTCTCTTTGAAGAATATTACAGTCCTGGATCGATTATGGGGAGATTTATTAGAGAGCTACACTTTTTTACTTGATAAGATCAAACTAAAAACATAAGTTGGGATTTGAACCAAGGTCAGCATTTATCATAGCAATTTGCTATTTGTAATTGGCAGAATTCAAATACAGGATTCCAGGACAAAATTCCCAGCTCTAATCCCTTGACCAGTCTTGTAGGCTCTGCTGTATAATTCTAACAAAACTCACCAATCCACAATATTCCTGTAATTGTGGTGGAACTGCATAGCCAAGCTAGCATCATGCCAGCCAGAGGTCCTAGCTGCTGGAACCCCAGCACAATACCTGTTGGCACCACTGACTATGAAACACTAAAAGCATTACAATGTTGTGAAAAAAGTGTCATCTCCAATTTGAGTATGTTTTTTTTTTAATAGAGGGCCAGGCTTTAAGTAACCATGGGATTGCATCGCAGCTAGAACAGCTTATTGTGCACATTTGAGTATGTTGAGTAGGTAGTTAAATAGATAACTAATACGACAATATCAGAATTGTTAATTTTGACATTCATGCTTGTGGATGAGGTACTGCCAACCTTGAGGATTGAGGTAGGTTGAATTTTTGAAACCACTTTACCGTTTAACTTGGGCAAATAATATGTTTAATAAAAAAACTTATTTAAAATCAGAAACTATTTAAAAGTCTTAGTAGCTTGATCTTTTTCCAAGCCCTGTGAGTTCTGTAACATATCATAAACAGAACACATGAATGAAAATGTCTTAAAGAATCTTTCTTATCCATGATAGACTATAATGGCAAATAGATCCAGGATAAATCTTTCTCATCTATAAAATATTGACTTTCAAACTTTTATGGATATTTTTCAACCACTCAATAGCCCGGTCAGTAATTTAAAACGACTAATTCAATACAATTCAATTCAAAACATTTTTATTCATTAATGTTCCATAACAAAAATGTGAATGGTGAGGAAAAAGCATAAAAATTAATGCTACAATGAGAAAAGTTATGGGGTAAGATTACAAAAGTACACATGAGTAAAATTATAATACTTAACCAATAATGCCTGGGCTGTTGATTGAGTCGATGTTGTCATCGATGTAAGTGAGAGCGAATGAATACATTCCGACAGAAGTAAGGCCAAGGGTGAAATGTAAAGCATAAACAGCTCCCAACGTCAACCAGTTCACAGTCTTCTCATTTTGAATCACCTTCTCGCTGTACTTCACACATAATGTTGGATCTGGAAATAAAGTCAGTATGTGTGTGTTTGTGAAAGAAACATATATATTTATATATATATATATCCTGTATGGCTGTTATGGCTGTAGAGTATATATCCTTAACAGCTGTATTTCATGGAAGCATAATTTTCACAGAATTGCTACAAGGAGGGTGGGAGGAGAACGTTCTTCCAGTCGCGGCAGGCTGACAAGTTCGACATGTAGCCCGGCTTCGCGATTGCTCACACTATAAAGAATTATGGTGTGCCGCTATGCGTCACAAGGAAAATCAGTACACAAAAATGTCATCCTAGACTCCAAGATATTTGAAAATTCCTTGAAAATATTTGAAACATTTATAAAAATTGTGATGGAAAATATCTATCATCACTGACTAAGTCAAACCAAAAAGTCTGTAATAGTTACAAACCTTGTGTGAGGCTGTACGTAGTCTTAACCTGGTAGTTATCATATTCTGTGAGAAGGAAGCTGCCAAACACAAGACAGGAGACCGTCAGAAGGCCGCCCAGGACTGCCAACCACACAGGCCGATGTCTGCTGCCTCCTGCATATGTCAGGGGTACCACCACGACAGCTTGCACTATCTGACTGCCTATCAGCAGCCATTCTAGACAATACACACTATCATCGAACACATTCTACTCTTTGAATTAAATGTGATTTTAATTAGTTTCTCCACTAAGAACATAATTTTACAAGATGAAGTAATTAATTTTTGGGTGGTGGGGAATATTACAGTTTTCTATATGTGTATTCAAGATATATATTTTATTTCAGGAGGGTTACGTGCTTCATTTCTTTGGCTCTCTTCCATATCCTTGTATTGACTTTCCAGTAAATAAATACATCAACATAAATTAGGAAAATAAAATATATAGTGACAAATAAAATATAGACAATTAAAATAAAGATAAACCATATTATTCTATGCACCCAATGACTTGAATAGGTGGTAGGGCATTTGCGCACGTGGACGCTGATTTAATTTAATTAAATTAAGTTCCAGAGTATAATACAATAAATTCCTCACAGTTTGCAGAAACTTTAAATTTGATCACACCCTACTTTATTGCTTGAACCTACAATTTAATTGTGTAAAACCATTACTATACAGTGAGTTAAAAAAAATCCCAGAAGGGCTTAATATTTTTTTAACCAACATAAATACTTAAATAAATAGTTTTTATGATAAATATTTAGATACAAAACTGTATATATATTGGTTGAAAAAATATTAAGCTGTTCCGGGACTTTTCAATACACTGTATATACCGTAATTACATTTCTGGAATCAGGAAAAAACATCTGCATTCAAATACAGTGCTTAGCAATGTAATAAGCATTCAAGGATAACAATTAATTTACCTATTAGACCCAGAGAGGCGTTGATGGAGTTGGTTTTGTAGTGGACACTGAAGAAGCCTTGGATGGCTCCCAGTACGATTGCGAAGGTGATCAGAACTGCAACAAATACTGAGGGTTTGGCAAACCTGCGCAAACCTCGGAACAGCTGATAGCCGTTACAGGCACAGCTGAAAAAAAACCACTTATATTGACTAATTTCTTCTATCTACCTATGTTAAAAGGTGTATTGATTTTTTTAAGGCTTTAACTGAAATTACCTAAAAAAAACATGGTACAGTAAAGGACAAAGCGCTAACTCTATTGTGGCTTATCTCTATGTTAACCATTTCCTCTCTCAGGGCTTTGCCTCACTTTTAAAAACATTTCATGACTATAAATAACCAGATGATCTTAGTCAGAAACAAGCCATCATCTCATTCCCTCAACACTCATCTTCTCCTTAAAATTTGCACCTTTGTGTGTTGGATTCCTATCTACAGGGAATCATCTATTGACATAGAGGCCACAATTGTGAATTCAACGTTAAGTTCCCATTCACCCCCTTTCTACCCCTACCCTTAACTTAAAATTTTTAAATTGTAAGGTATATGCAAACATATCAAATGAAAGGTACTACACTTTACAAAAGATTTGTCTTTCAAAGCTAAACTTATAGTATAGTAAAAAAGGAAAAAGTTTTAGTATTACAGTACCATTAACTATGAAATGTAAAGTAAATTATAACAATAATAAAAATCATAAATTTATAAAACGTAAATATATCACTCCTTTTATGTACCCTTTCCTAATTAACTGTATGTAAACATATAAAAAACAGACTGATTTTTTTAAATTACTAGTAAAATTTAATTTTTTTTAGGTAAATCAAAAGTAATCTGTGAAATCAAATCAGTCTGGGTGAACTAATCAAATGAGCGACCAAGCTTGGTGAGACAACAATCTTGGTACATTACCCGCAGTCAATATCTTCCTCAGTCGTCATCCTGTCAACAGTGTCGTCGGAAGAGTGTAAAAGGCGTGGTCGTATCACTCCCATCCACTACTCCGCCAACAGCTGATCTCTGGAATAAATTAACATTAACGTTAAGATGATGTAGGAAATGAAAATGTCTGCACTAGGCTGGCTCCTGTTATCTGAAGGGAGTGCTTATCTAGAGTACGTTTATCTAGGTGATTCACAGTACATGGATGCCTGATAGTACTTTCATTTTCATCAATAAAGCTACAGGTTCCCTGTTGTTTATGATAACGGTGTCAGGTGTGAAATTAAATCAGCATTTTTGTTGGTTACTATAGCTGCTGTGCATGTGCCTTGCCCTTAGAAGAAAAGTCAAATTATAATGCACTACAAAAAAACTTAAAATTTGAAAGTCAGCAACTAGACAAGTAGATAAAAAAAATTAACATTAAAATTCTAATACAACTGAAACCCAAAATAAAAATTATAGCTTTGACCAATGGAGGTTCTAGGGCTAAGAGGGAGCTATCGGGGGTGTCCCACGCCGCAAGAAAAGAGGAGGGTTCGAGGGTCCTCCTCTGGAAATTTTGGTATTTTTAAAGCAGTTTGGTGTCTTTCTAAAGCCATTTTTAATGTCCAGAACTTTAATGTCCAATGGCAAGGGGGGAGGGATTTAGTTCCTGTAGCCCCCCTTGGAACCGACACTGGCTTTGTCATTCCATTCCTCTCAAAATGAGCTTTCTTTCAAAGAAGAAAGTATGTGTCAAGTGTGGCTAATTCAGAATCTTTGCCAAAAAAACCTTATAATTTTATTTGTACAAAAAATCTTTTGTCTTTTAAGATTTATAATAATTGATATAAGCAGGTATCAATATACTTTATGTCCAAACAATAACGTCTGCACCCATACAAACTTATTATGGACACCTTGTGGTTCTAAATTTACATATATTGTTGGCAGCCTTTAAACTCATTGTGTAATATTAATGATAGTAGTTTTGATCAGAATTCATAGCATAGCAATAGATGAATATTGATTTCTTAGGGATAATTCAGTCTATTGTAAAATGTTGATTGTTAATAGTATACCCCCTCCCTCAACACACACACACATTGCAGGAGTTGTGGCCTTGTGGGGTTTCTATAATCATATTGTTATGAATAATTAATTCAGACAGTCGGGGTTATAGTAGTAGGTGTAACTTTTAAAAAAAGTAAAAATTAATACAGAATAATATATTTTGCTAAGTATAGACCTTAAGTGTTGAAAATATCAAAGTGCAGTGTAGACTAGCAATGTACACATAGTTCATTATTATTAAGACTCAAAAAGATATTAAACTAATATCTAGATTTTTGGAAATTGTTTATCACCGTAGACAAATAAAAAAAGACTGCATAACTAATGGTATAGTATTTTGATGCTTGGCAATACAAAATGTATTGAAATGAATTATTCAGAGAACCTTGAAATAATGCTGGAACATGAAAATGTTTATGCACACTCAGAAGTTAAAGATAACTAGATAAAAGTGACTATCTCGCAGCAAATTAGTAGAAAAACTGCAACAAATCAGTCTGGGAATTTGATGACACAGTGATATTGTCAAGGCTATGGCTTTGGAGTTTTAGTCACAATACTCAAAGTTATTGCACATTGAGTTTAATAGATAACAACACTAAAACTTTCTGCTTCATGATTTAATTTATATGAGGTTGTTTGAATTAGTATATATAGTTTACAACTGACTTATTCTATAAAACTAAAAAAAGGAATATTTTATATCTGTATTTTCTTGTATTCTCTAACTATTTAATGTATAGTTAAATTAGGAAGAATACTATAACCCCTGAAAACCAAAATATTAATTTAAGAGAGATGATTTCTTTTGTTCGTTGAGAATATTTACTTAAATATTTAACACCTTACTATGCTGTTAAATAATTAATTCTGAATACTATTTTTATTGAGACTAATTGTCATTAATATTGTATGGCATTTTTTATTTAATACACAATATAAAAGATCCTCTTGATGTAACCTGACAATTGTTATAATAGTATATGCACAACCTTGTCACACAAAAAAAAAAAGGTTTGAGGACAAAGAACAATTAGGTCCTGTTTTCTCACAAATTATTTAACAATGCCCCCCTCTAGCCTTGAGTAATGTTTTGGGAACACTGAGTCAAGAAACTCAATAGAAAAACATTTAATTTACCGGTACCCAACAAAACAGTCTGAATTGATAAAAGAAAATGAAATTGGAAGTATTGATCCTTAAAACACACTTGTTATGTTCAGTAATAAATGTGTGTTTTTAACTTGAACATGAAGTCAAACTTAAATAAAAACTTCTTTGTTGTTAGACATTCCATACCCATGTTAAAGTTGTAGCCAGGTTTTTTATAAAATTTGTCCTTGTTGATGTGAGCCACCTATAGATTGTGCTGATCTAAATTACTGATTTCTGCCGATTACATGATGTTTTTTACCAAGTCAAACTGATTGAATCACTTATTATGAGCTATAGCAACTGTTGTGACCCAGCAACTATGTCAGTTAAGGTACAAAATAGAGTTTTAAGCACTAGCGCAATCTGTGACTGGCTCACACAACTGCATTCTTTTTTAGTTAAAAACTGGCGACAGCTGTTCCATATAGATGGGATGTCTTCTTCTGTATCCAATAGTCAATGATTTAATGTAATTTCAAACAATATAAAAATTCAGTAAGCTGTGCAAAAGTAGTGCATAAAATAATATAAGTTAATAATAATGTTATAGCGAAGTTAGTCTTTGTGCTAACTTATGTTAAAGTTTTGAGACACTTTTTAGATAAAATATTATTTCCATCAGTAAAAATGTGCTGACCAAGAAGAAATTACGAATTTCTAGAACCGTCCAAATTCAAACTATCCTAGTACAGGAACTATGTCCCAAGTCTTGCCATTTAGTCCAGTAAATAGGGGTATGTTAACTTACAAACGGTCCGGTAAGTCTAAATTTTGTATATGTTGTCTAGGATGGTAAGTAGGTGTTTAAAATGAAAAATGCACAATTCTCCACCCTCCGCGCCCGCCGCCATATTGAAAAATCTATAAAATCTGTACTTTCTAGAGATTTTCGCCTATATCTCCGTTTTGGTGCGTTTTAGCGAAATATTTGTAATGTAAATGTTGTAGACAATTAAATTTCCTATAATATAAGTATAACAATTTGGTTCTAAGACTTATGGTTACGAAAATATTTAAAGTTTTATACAATAAAACATACATTTTTTTTGTTATTTTGACATCTTTCTAAGTGGTCCAAGCAAACTAAAAAAACTGACACAGGGAACGTTAAAAAAATTGCAAGAAAACGTTTTATGGTTTTATTTTGTAGTGTTGGGTCTGCAGAGTGACATACTAAAAGTTGCCAAAAATCGGTCTACAGAGAACCCCCTAAAATCACGATAAAAATGGCGGCTTTTCTCAACATTGGACAAATTTGAAAAAAATATACCACATGCATATTTTATTCAAAATTTTGTGAGATATTCACTTGGGACGACCACCGAAGTTTATTGGGTGGTTAGTACTTCATTTACATGGGGAACTCATTTTTGGCCGTCATCTTGGACCACCATATTGGATATAAATAAAGAAAATTGAATGCAATGATGACGTTGTGAATAATTATAAATAAACAGTCATATGTTTTTCAATTGTTTTGTTGAAAACAGATAATAGTTTAATGTGTTGTGTTTGATGAAAGAAATAAAGAAGATGGTTTTTGTTAACATTTATTTTGTCATTTCTATTGTTAATCTTAAGTAATCCTCCATGATATCAAATTAATTGAATCCCATATATTGACGATTTCAATCATCAGTAATTGTTTTATAAATATGTTTATGATCGAAATAGAGTATTGACTATTGACATATGATTAATATTTTTAAATCCTCATAACTGAAAGAGAATATTATTTAATTAACTGTTAGCTACTATTAGTAAAGTAATCAATCCCGCTTCTGTGATTCCGTAAAGTCTTCTTTAAAGTAATTAATTATTTTTTAGTTTTAGAGGTAGTAAAACTTGTGATCGAGTTATTGTATTTTACTACACCCTTACATAGTCTCGTTATAAAACCCAATAAAAACCAATATCATGACCTTTTTATTTTTGGTTTTTTTATTTTTTTTATTTTTGTACCTACTTTGTCAAACTAAGCATAAAAGCCAATTATGACATCCAGCAAATGATAAAACTAAACAATCAACTACACCATAAACAAATCACCAATTAGAGCAAACTACACCAATTCATTACCAAGATAAACTTTCAGTTTCCTTATCTTTTCTCAAACAACCAACTTATCACACAGCTGATTAAGTAGTATACTATTCTGTAACTGGTTAGAAGAATTGTGAATGAATACATGCAAAGTGAAAGGGGTTATGTAAAACAAAAATCAACAAGTTGTATAAGGTTATGTTGCTTACCTTTGGAAGCCATGTTGAACTAATACCTGTGCTTGCTGAATGTGAACTGAGCACTATCACAGCTTGGTTTACACTCACACACACACACACACTTACAGTGACCTGCTGCTACAACAGACACACAATCACTGACTGAGACTGACTTTCTACCTAGCCTGCACACTACTTCTCTACTGCCCTACTTCTCCAATTCAAAACATCTGCACTTAACTTCTTCTTTCTTCTGCTGATACAGAGTTTGAGAGTTAAGTTATAAGTATTGTTGATCAGCTGGGAGCTAATTACAATCTAGATCAAGGATGTCTACATTAACCAGTTGTCACTTTCGTATTGAGTGTAACAGAAGAGATGGAGTAATTAGTGAATAATTGTCACTGTTTAAAGATAGATTTATTTAATTGTGTAATTATAATCTTTTGAATAGGTTTACGGATTGGATAAATAAATACCCCCGCCGCAGCAAACCTGCAGAGCCTAAGCAAATTATTTTATTCATATAGTAAAATATATTGAAGTCATTGTTGAAAGAAGAGAGATTTTAAAATTGTATGATTGTGTATGGATCTAAAACTGGCAAATTCAAACTTTTTGTTTATTAGATCGTTTCACTAAATTTACTATAACGTTTTTCTAAGGATTAAT